TAAAACAGTAAATGATTTTGATTGGATATTGAACCAAAAAACAAAAAAGTGTTTTCTAGATTTATCAATTTTAAATGATTTAGAATTAATGTGGCGATGTGTAATCAGCTGTTTAACATGACCAACTGATTATCAAAATAATGCTCAAAATCATTTTTTGGAAGCAAAATCCGTGAATGTATATTTAACAATAAGTAATGATGCATTATAGTTTATTGAACCAGCAGCAAATCGACGTGACAGTTCACGTTTGTATAACAAAAGATCAATAGCAGATTTATACACATTGCTACCACAGGTATTCTCTTAAAAATATTAATTTTTGCAACAAATCTTTACACGTACTCGTGCACATAATTATATTAAAATGTTTTAATCATTTCCATGTATTCAACAGATCAATTGGATAATTAAGTACAAACGAGTTGAAATGACATGATATCATTCAGATTAATTGGTTGGAATTTCTTACACGTTTGATACCCCCTATGATCGGTACTTTTTTATCAAACAGTACCACTGTAATTGTTCAAGAAGTAGACTATTTGAAAAATCTTTCTGATTTACTACGTATAACAAGCAAACGAGTTGTGTCAAATTATATTTTTTGGAGAATTTGCCATTTTTGGAATGATATTTTGGATAAATCATTTGATAGTGTTCAACTGGTACTTCTTAAATGCTTTATATCACTTAAAATATATAGCAACTAGTATAAGCTTAAAAGTTTAGTTTGTATAATTTTTAATCACTTTACAACTTCTATTACCTAAGTTTGCAAAGTAATTGAAGACTATATAGAAACATCTTTATATTATTTTTTTGCTAATTTGGTTGAGATTGTACCAGTTTTTGAATTCTATTGAAAGATGTCAATGTATGGTGCATATGTTTAGGAATTAATGAATGTACTGAATGGACAGCGAAAAATCGTTTCACGTTGGCAACACTGTGTTCAGAAATGTGAAGAATTGTTGCCAGCTGCTGTAAGTGCTTTATTTGTCCGTAATCACTTTGATTCGAATACGAAGAAAGAAGCAATGGTAAGATATTTTACGTAAAATAACTAATAATATAATTTAGATTCGAGTATGTACCTATTTTATTTTTTTTGCTGATAGTTAACTGCAAATGGTAACTCTAACTTCAAATTAGTATGGTTAAATTTATTGTAACAAATGCAAATGAGAAGTTAAAAATTTTAACGGACATACTGAATAATCTAGCAAGTTTCCGTCAGTTGATAATTTGAGATTTATTATTAAATGTTTATCTAAAAACTAAAAAACTTATCTAAAAACTGGAAGTAAACTCACTTATTCATATTAGTATTTTCAAATCTAACTTGTGACACTAATAATACGTCAATACGAATAGAAAAAAGCTTTGATTACATTATATCAAAGTTCAGAATCTTCTTACAATGATTCAAAAAGCATTCCAAGGGATTGTTGGCAAAATCAGTTGGATGGACAGTGATACAAAAAAATTTGCACTGCAGAAAGTAAGTACTGTGAGGGGCTTCATGTAGTCAACAGTTACATTTTAAGAGTGCCAAAGTTTCTTTTGCGTGAAAATTCATTTAATTTTTATGCAATAAAGTTTTAAGAGCAAATTTTTACAAAATAAAATTCAGGCATGCTATGAAACAATGATTGACTTCTGAAACTAAATCTCGCCTTTCATTTTGTAAATTTTTAGTCACTTTGCTTACTTATTAAGAGCATTGAATCTGAATGGCTGGTAATAGACATTTAGAAATCTGTATCATTAAATAATTAAAATTCATTTTAATCAAAAATTCTTTGTTCTTTTACATTTATTTTGTTTAATCGTAGTTATTTTGACTTCCTTTCTATTTTTTATTTTTATTTTCATCTTTGTATATTCGTTTCACAAAATTTCATGCCTTTGATGAAATTTAAAAAAAAAAAATCCTACGACTCACTATTCTTTACAATATTCACTTCTTCATTTTTTTCAAGCATATTCCAATCGTATTCTATCTTTCAAGTGAAAAATTGTTCTTCAAGGCTTCATCCATTATCAGCAAAGTTGGTTATGACAAGATGTCAATGAACGATACTGCATTAGATGGATACTATGCAAAGGTCATCATTTTAGCTATTTCTAACAGTGTAAATGGAAGTTTGCATACAGAACATATAATAAGACGAAAAAATGCAAATTTTATAAAATAGTAAAATGAAATTTTAAGTATTGTTCACTGCAATATACTCAATTTTTCATCAAATGATTGAAATAAAATCTCACTAAAATACGTTGCTTAACTCAGGGTACTATCAAGTTGACTATTCTTTCTGAGTTAATTGGAAGTTTTCTAAATTGAATAATATTTATTGTTTTGTAAGGTCATCATAATCTTATGATTATAGAACTGCGATTTCAAGCAGCCAAATAGCAAATCTTTTTCTTAAAATTGCGCCAATGAAATGTTTTGAAATTCATTGCGTGATAACTAATGATATTTTCATCAATTTGTATTTGGAAAAAGTCATGATTAGTACGAAGTTATTCGTTTGTTTATATCTAAAATATCGCTCTTATATTCAAAAGTAAATTAATATTCTGTGTGAATATTTTTTTGATTTCAGTTAGATATTGCGTCGTCAGATACCTATTTTGAAGTTTTGCGTAAAACAGCCGCATGGAATGGAAAAAAGCATTTTTCACGTTTGAATAAACCTTTTAATAAATATGAATTTACTCAAAGTGCGTCAACTCTTAATGCTTATTTCACGCATAAAATGAATTCACTGTGTAGGTTTTTTTCAGAGTTTGAAAATATTTCATCTTCCAAATTTAATCATTAAAAAATTTCATAGAAATTCAATAGTTTTTCATCAAAATTTGTAATTACAGCAAAAAATAGAAAAAATATAATGAACATAATTCTAATGACTTTCTAGTATTTTTTCTATATTTTTTTCGCAAATATTTAATTTTATTCAATTTTTTTTTGAGTGTTATAGTAACTTTCCATGCTTGTTTTACAAATTTTTACATATAACGTAATAATTACTTCAGTTATACCAGCCAGCATCCTCAGAAAACCTTTTTTCAGCGTTTTTTATCCAAAGTTGGTTGTTTTACTTAATTTTGCAATTATATGTAATTCTTGTTTTTTTTTGTATACTATTTACATTTGAAAAGTTTCTGCCTCAGAAAATTAGTTTATTAAAATTTTAAAAACTTGTAAAATAGAATTTTTTAGGGAATTTTATTCTTCAAGCAGCACACTTCTTCAAATAATGCTAAATATTGTATATTATAGAACTGTTTACGTGAAATACTCATCTCTTATTCCTCATTTAGCTTTTAAAGAATAGTTTTTGTTGAATGCAAACAGGTATTAGCGTATGCTCGTTTCATGTAAATCTCGTGAGCTATCCTAAAATCCATGAATATTTTTGTATTATTTTAATTTGGCTGCTGAATTGTGACTGAAAGGGTTTTTGCAGCTTCTCTAGACTTCCTCGTATCTTAAAATCTCCCTTAATTTGTGGTAAAAAATGAAACAAATTTTCTATTTTTATTTTTTTGAGAGCAGTAAACTACGGCGCCATTGGCTTTATTATGGGTCACGAAATGATTCACGGCTTCGATGACGTTGGTTCGTGACAATTTTGGTTCTTATTTAATTTCATATTCCTTACTTATGCTAACATTTTGTCATACATAAGCACTATTTTATTCGAGATTATGTCACAAAATTTTATAACATATTGCCTAAAAGCTGAAACATCTAAAAATTATCACTTGACTTCAAAGTTTTTATTTCATTTGGATGAGCACCAAAGCTTAAATCAGTTCAAGAAATAGTGGAAAGATTCTGCGACATATGTTATGATGGCCAAAACAATTTTAATGCCTCATATCACATTCCTCATAGCAGTTTATATTTTATATATTCAAGAATATATAATTTGAAGGATTAAAATTACCACAGGAAGTGCTTATGACATCGATGGTAACTTGCATAACTGGTGGAGCGAAGAATCTTATCAAAATTTCACGAATAAAACACAATGCCTGATTGATCAGTATGGATCATATCAAGTACCAAATATTGACTTTAAGGTGATTATGAAAAGCTTTACCAAATATTTAGAGTAATGATATAGTCTTGAGGAGAAAGTTGTAAACAGTACAAGATCAAAGCTTGAAAAAATTTTTCAAATGACCAGTCGAACCCGGGGATGGAGAAAATTTCTTTGTATCACTTTTTCTTCAAATTATAAGGGGTTAATAAGATTTGCTTTTTTGACTTAAAAAAATAATTTAATTATCATTATCATTATCAGTTGTTAATTATTGATATGACTACGACTAATTAAATTATTGAAGCATGTAAACTATACTGAAAAAATTGATAATACTGTGCTAAATACTTTACTTTAGATCCTAACAAAATTTAAAGGCGAAACAGTGACGTAGTCAATTTTAAGCACCAAAAGTTAGAAAAGTAAATATGGGCATTTCTACCTCAGTATTGTTTTTTAATTTCAAATTGAGTTTTGAGAATTTTAAAAATATGAGTCAGCGAGTTATTAATTGAGATACAAGTCTGTTCATTTCAGATAAATGGTAAATTGACTTTGGGGGAAAATATTGCTGATAACGGCGGTATTAAACAATCGTACCAGGTCAAATTTTCTTCATTATTAAACAATATAATGCTGAAGCATTTTTCAATACATTTTTTTTTCATTGTAACCATTGTATGTAAAGGCGTGTCATCCATACCTGTCACATCATAGTTGTACCTAACACTCAGGCATATCAAGAATTTATCAGTCAAAGCAATCAGTCTGAACCTGTACTACCAGGAATGTTAGATTACACCAGTGATCAAATATTCTTCCTATCTTATGCTCAAGTAAGTTTTTTATCGAAAATTTTTATGCGAAATTTCAAAATTAAGCTGAAAATAGGAGATAATTCATATTCTCATGATATGGTACCGCAAATTGTGCACTGGTCACAGTTAATTTTGTTTGATCTACATTTTGTGCACAGCCACGGATTTGTTTTTATGCAACAAAAGCATTCAGTTTATTCAGTGGATGAATTTCAAGCAAATACTCATTCTCTATTTATGAATAGTTAGCAATATTTAATGACAGATTTACTGTGGCCATGGAACGAAATCAGCACAGATCGAAGGTATTCTTACCGACGATCACAGTCCACAAAGATATCGTGTCAATGGACCACTTTCCAATTTAGCAGAATTTAGCGAAGCTTTTGACTGTCCCCTTGGTAGTAATTTAAATCCTATTAAACGTTGCTCTATTTGGTAAATGTCATCATCAATTAATACACGTATACAATTACTATCACTTAGTCTTATTCTCTGATTCTGGCGCTGGATCATATTCCAGCACTCCTGACGTAATAGTCCCGCTCGCAGATTGCTATCAGTTTAAATCCCTAACTCTTTGCTAATGAAGGACGAAAAAG